CCTCTAGTTTGTGAAAGTTTTTATAATTACAAGCCCTTCTATATTGAAACACAAATTTTCAATCAGATCTCCTCCAAGCTTAATATTCTGATTTTTCATTACCTGATATATTCTAGAATACAATACAATCCTAAAAGGAAAATGTGTGTAAAATTTTAGACCATAATTTTAGTGTAGTTTGATCCAAGATAGTCTAATAAAATAAGTCTAATAAAATGAAATAGTCGGTAGTTTTAACAGAAAAGGGAAATAGGTAATGTTTTAGTAGCTATTTTAGTGGACAAAAGCACTAAAATGAATTAGACCACACTTTTAGCTTAAAAGTTGAGAACAAATTTGGATCTAAAGTTCTTTTGTGAAACAGGACTCAGTAGCTACAAAGATTGAGTGTAATATCTTTTTGTTTTATCAATTACAATTAAACTTGGGAAATCACTAATTTTTAAATTATATTTCAGGCTGGCAGTAGGACTGGTGATCGTGTATGGAGGATGCCACTATGGGATTGCTATACTAAACAGATCACAGAATCACAGCTTGCTGATCTGAATAATATATCTGGTGGTAGATCTGCTGGGGCTTGTACAGCAGCAGCATTTTTGAAGGTAGGTCAAAACAACTTTCACTATACACATATTTCCCAACATAAACCCACAAAATTGTATTCACATTGTTCATTGCTGTAGCAAAGAAATAAAAAGGTAATGATTATATACCATGTCAATGAGTCTAATTTAAAAAATGTTTTGGAATGTTGTAAAATGATATCACTTAGGCCTGTTTTATTTCTGATTTGTTGACTTTATATAAGAATTAAATCATTTTATGAAGATTCACTTTGTGCTGCATCAAATTTATTTCATAAACTTGTTTTCAGGAGTTTGTTAAAAATGAACACTGGGCCCACCTAGATATAGCTGGAGTCATGAAAAACAAATCAGAGATATCATATTTGAATAAAGGGATGGCAGGTATGCTTTAGATGCAGAAAGCTAGTTTGTTGTACCATTTTGAATATACAAATCTATATTTTAGTGTAGAATGCAGTTTAAAACACACATATAAATAGTGAAGAACAATACTAATCCCACTTAATTCTGTGAGTCAGAGATATTGTCAGTTGGATAAGATTTTGTCGATAATTGTTGTTCATTAAGTTTGATTATCTTACAGGCCGTCCGACCAGAACCATAATTGAGTTTTTGAGGAACTTTAAAATATGAACACTAACCCGAAAGAGAGGCAGTGTCTAGTGAAATGGAAGTGGAAAATTATCAATGCGCACAATATGCACGTGACTCTACTCTGAAAGAATTATGATAATAACATAAACTTGTACTGCATGCTTACTGGTGCAGTTTTGAAAACTTTTAACGAAGTGAAAAATTATATGCTCATAAAAGGAATAAACATTTTATGGAAAAGTGTTTGCATTCTTATAGACATTATTATTCCAAAAAATTAAAGGTCAAGATAATTGTAAGATGCCTATTACTGCTGGAACTCTTATTATACAAACTGTGAAAAAATGATTTAACAAATAAATTATCATATCACTGTTTGTGTCAGATCCTGATAACCTTCTTGGACAAAGTTGGGTATGATGCCTGTAACTGCTGGCACTTTTATTACACAATCTGTCTAAAAATCCTTAATAAATCTTCATCATATCACAGTTTGTTACAAAATTTGGAAATTCAAAATCGTCCACCTCCCATCCCATTTATAAGTCTTAACAAGACCTTTTGCCACTGGAAACCCCATTTTAAATTAAGTAGCTTTTATGAATTTTTATAAGTTATAACTCTTGTACACTAGTTTCTAAAACATTTCATTTATGTTAGTGCAAGATTCAGTGGTCAAGTAAACTCTGTGAAAACTAAGATGAACTACACGTAGAAAAGCACTCAAACTCGGAGTCAAAGAGGGAATTCTAACCTCTGCCAAGACAAATAATTGACAATTTATTACCATTACTTAATGTATTAATGGATCATTGCCAAATCCTAATCATTTATCCCTTGGCCCATTTCTGAGCTATCCTGAAAAATTCATCAAAATCTGTACCTAATAAACCTATTAACTACTTAATTAATTACTCAATTAACTGATTAATTAATTAACTGATGAGTGGAGCATCACCAAAATCTATTCATTGCTTCCTTGGCCAATTTGTGACTATCCTGAAAATTTGATCAAAATTCGTTCATTACTTTTTGTGTGATGCTCTCCACAGACAAACAGACTGCAACAAATCACCAGAGTAGTATGCACAAGAAAAGCCCTGGTTGAACACTCTTTACTAAATGAAGGCAGGAAAGTAGACCTGTTTGTTTGCGTATGACAATGCAGCTATGCAAAGCTGTTTAAGATTACGTTCTGCACTAAGTGGTCGTTTGTCGGGTTTAGTTATATCAAGGTAAGCTGATGACTTGCACAAATGTTACTTAAGTCTTATGTTTTGAAAATTGATACTTTTAGCTTGTACAATTTTCTTTTAATAATTCTTCTTTGGGGTTGTACGTAATCCATTTCATGATCATGACATTGCTTATATGTTCCTGTCACTTTCGGCCAAAATTTGGATCCATGGCACACTTTTGTGCAGAGGACTGGAGGAAAAGTGCAAGTTACAAGCTTTTTCGCTTTCAAAATGAACACGCAAACGTTTTTTAGACATCATGCCACTTAATATGCATGGAAATCCATTTGTTAACACCCATGATTAGCAACGTATTTCGCTGGGATTACTTCTCTCAAGTCTTCTGCTTACCTCTCCTCTCCTTAAAGGCATAATAACTCTTTGTATGAGACCTATATTTCACAATAAAAACCTTGTGAATAACTCATAGAAATATAATATATTCTGTTTTACCACAAAAACAGCAGTTATAGCTTTTATTCTGATATTTGAACTTGTCTTTAGACCACGTGACCTCCATTGATGTCTATACTCTGTTAAAATCTCTTAAGAGATTTTAACAAAAAACCAAACTTTTTAGAAAAAAACCAGGGACTAACTTTGAATGTAAAAATGGATTCATTAACCATTGGTAAGCATGGGAAAATTGTTGTTTACTCCAGGAAAATTCATTTTTTGGCCGAAACAAAGAGTTATTATTGCTTTAA